TCGACTTCCCAACTCTGTCCAAATGAAACAATCGCATCGGTCGACTAATGACTATGATTAAACGAGTGCAGAGCGGCATCGTATCGAAGATGCTCGCGAAAGGTTAACACGTTCCGTGCCGAGCTTTTTTTACTCGAATCTTCACACTTTGATATTTTACTAAAACTTGATGTATTACGTGCAATTATTAATTCTCGTACACGTAACAACGTAACAAAAACTTATCAACGCCCATTCTTGCGGTGGAAATTGATTCTTCGGTTCTAAATTTCTTGTAAACGATTTGTTCAGTTCACTAAGTAAACATGCAAGCGTGTACCATGGATGGTACACGTGGCACGGAACGTGTTAACCATTAGCACTCGGAAGGTGTTTTTAAAAATAAATACCTGCCAGCAACTCGGAGCAAATTTTGCCAAGATTGTGATTCCGTTGTACAAAGTTGAATTAAAATAAAAATCATTGCTCTGCTGTGAACATTATACAGGGTGTCCCAGGTTTTAAATGTTCAAACTTTGTCAGTGTATTCTATGGCACAAAGTAAGAAAAAAATATTATGTAAACATAGGTCATATAGAGCCTTATTAATAAGTTAATCTAAATTATTAAGTTAATGTTAGATTAACTTATTAATAAAGCTCTATATGACCTATGTTTACATAATATTTTTTTCTTACTACATTAACTTAATAATTAATAATTATTAAATTAATATAACAAAGATTCAGAATAGGAATAGTAATCAACTTGCTGTTACCGTGAGCATTGGCTTGAATAGATCAGCACATGCCGTGTGTTTGTGTAAGCCTGTCTCTTATACACATCTAGATGTGTATAAGAGACAGGCTTACACAAACACACGGCATGTGCTGATCTATTCAAGCCAATGCCTGTCTCTTATACACATCTAGATGTGTATAAGAGACAGGCTTACACAAACACACGGCATGTGCTGATCTATTCAAGCCAATGCCTGTCTCTTATACACATCTAGATGTGTATAAGAGACAGGCTTACACAAACACACGGCATGTGCTGATCTATTCAAGCCAATGCCTGTCTCTTATACACATCTAGATGTGTATAAGAGACAGGCTTACACAAACACACGGCATGTGCTGATCTATTCAAGCCAATGCCTGTCTCTTATACACATCTAGATGTGTATAAGAGACAGGCTTACACAAACACACGGCATGTGCTGATCTATTCAAGCCAATGCCTGTCTCTTATACACATCTAGATGTGTATAAGAGACAGGCTTACACAAACACACGGCATGTGCTGATCTATTCAAGCCAATGCCTGTCTCTTATACACATCTAGATGTGTATAAGAGACAGGCTTACACAAACACACGGCATGTGCTGATCTATTCAAGCCAATGCCTGTCTCTTATACACATCTAGATGTGTATAAGAGACAGGCTTACACAAACACACGGCATGTGCTGATCTATTCAAGCCAATGCCTGTCTCTTATACACATCTAGATGTGTATAAGAGACAGGCTTACACAAACACACGGCATGTGCTGATCTATTCAAGCCAATGCCTGTCTCTTATACACATCTAGATGTGTATAAGAGACAGGCTTACACAAACACACGGCATGTGCTGATCTATTCAAGCCAATGCCTGTCTCTTATACACATCTAGATGTGTATAAGAGACAGGCTTACACAAACACACGGCATGTGCTGATCTATTCAAGCCAATGCCTGTCTCTTATACACATCTAGATGTGTATAAGAGACAGGCTTACACAAACACACGGCATGTGCTGATCTATTCAAGCCAATGCCTGTCTCTTATACACATCTAGATGTGTATAAGAGACAGGCTTACACAAACACACGGCATGTGCTGATCTATTCAAGCCAATGCCTGTCTCTTATACACATCTAGATGTGTATAAGAGACAGGCTTACACAAACACACGGCATGTGCTGATCTATTCAAGCCAATGCCTGTCTCTTATACACATCTAGATGTGTATAAGAGACAGGCTTACACAAACACACGGCATGTGCTGATCTATTCAAGCCAATGCCTGTCTCTTATACACATCTAGATGTGTATAAGAGACAGGCTTACACAAACACACGGCATGTGCTGATCTATTCAAGCCAATGCCTGTCTCTTATACACATCTAGATGTGTATAAGAGACAGGGCTTGTACCTGCATTTATGAGGCTCGGGGTTGTACCTTTATTTATTGCCCCTGTAGACATGCGTGTGTGTATGTGTGTGAGTAACGTTGTATATACCAACATTTACATAACATGTTTCTCTTGCTCTGTGCCATAGAATATACTGACAAAGTTTTAACATTAAAACCTGGGACACCCTGTATAGGAATTAATAAATGAAAGATTTTGTACATTTATTTATGTTGTGGCGGCTACCTCCAGACCTGCCAGCAGAGGGCTCCTCTTCCCGCTAGTAGCCGATCCGTTCCGATCCCTATATATACACCGAGACTTCGTCCTACCCTTACGTCTAAGGCAAGGGCCCGCTAGGATAGCCTTACCGATGAGTCCTCTAGCGGGCCCCGGACGAAACGTCTCCCCACTCCTTTTCTACTTCCACGACGATCGAACTGCCGCCAAAATGTATTTAACACGATTACCTTAAAAGGTATAATCTGGCGTCGCCGTGTCGGCGACATCCGAGTGCAAAGAGTTAATAATCGGACGAACGACGCGACCGGAAACGTTCGAGGTCCCCGCGAAATCACTCGCGCAGCTGCATTAACTCCGCTCTCTTATCGTGCCGATGTGATCGCGTTAACTTCGAACGACACCGTTAACCTCGACGGAGCCCCGTATCAGACCGTTGGAAACCTTTACAACCATCATAAACCCGTATCGCTGGTATCGATTATCTGCGACTTCCGCCGGGCCCACAGTCGTACAGAAGCCCGAAATCATGGTTAAAACTCTAAAAATCGAAATTGTCCGTGGGAAGGTTTTAACTTGCGGATTGGCTACCTCGATGATGCCTCTACGGGGTGAGAACGACGAAATAAGCCATACTTTTATATCCGAGTGGCAATTGCAGTTCGAACTTCGAGTTTGTTGGACAGCGATTTCTCGCGAGCGTGTGCGACGGTGCAAAGTGTAGAGCTCGTGTTTTTTTTTCTTTTTGTAGAAGGCATTATTTTCAGTTCTGTGAAACGGTTATTGTTCCTGCAACATCTTTTAACGCCATCATATCGAGAATTCTTAATTGTTATATTTGTAAACGTTCCCGATAAACGTTCTAAGATAGATAAACGTTCTAACAATAGTTCTGCATGTTCGAAACGATTTTTGGAATGGCATTTTTAGCAAACGTGAACATGGCACTTGCCACGTTCCTCTTATGAGATTCTTCCCGATGAACATTTTAACACTTTATCGTCCGGTCGTGGTTGAGGCTGCCACTCAGTAAGGACTGGCTTAGTCGCGCGCGCATTTGCTCCCAGTACCGGCTAAATGTTCGCTATTCATTGTGTTGTGCTTATTCCTTTAAAAATAATAATAAATAATAATAATTATTATAATTATAATTCATAAGGATATGGAGAGGTCAGCATACAAGAGGTCAGCTACTAACAAAACAGTAAAGAAGCGAAAACCGTCGATAGCTAAAAGTCGATTAATAGGCTATCGGTCGATAAGCATTGGCAATCGAAAAGCCGATTAATAGGCTAGCGATCGATAAACATTGACAATCGAAAAGCCGATAAATAGGCTAGCGGTCGATAAAGTGTTAAGATAGTTCTACCTTATTTCAAGAACCCCCATTCTTCATTAATTCTTACGTTCCTCTCACGAGACCTTTCTCAATGAACGTTCTAAGATTATCATAACTTGTTCCCAGGTGTTCTTTGATTATTTCTCGTGTTTTTCTCATTCATTTTTCAAAGAACGCTCTGACTTGTTCTAAGATATCTTTTAATTGTCTCTGGAAACTGCCTCAACGTGAATTGAAATTTCCAGCGGTTGATTTTGTACGAGTTCCGTTTGAAGTAAGTCGGACATGATCAACTGATGGATAAACTCCGGCTGCAAAACCAACCACATACTTATTCCGGGGGTGTACATAACGGAAGACTGAAATACATTATAAATTTTCCCCATTGTTCAATACTTGGATTCATAATCTAGTCCACTGAGAGAAATATTTTCGTTACTTTAAACATTCTCGTTCGACGGTTCTTGCTGTGGCAAATTCGTGCATTTCGAATTTTTGCACAGCTCAGAAAAATTAGAAAGCTTACAGATGTTCACTACAGTGATTACTACGACTCTCTAAAATCTAGGAAATATTTTTAGCTAACGTGAACTGGGGTACTACTGCAGACGCCCCAAATACTCTACGGTATTTTATAAAAGTAATAAAATCTAACATTTTACAGTGTGTAATCTTCTAAAAATTAATTTTATAATTTTTATACGTGTTTAATATTGATAATTTATGACATGCAAGTAACAGCAATCGCAGTTTTTATTCATTTATTGACATTTAATATTCGGAAGCTTGTGAAAGCGTTGAGTCTTATGAAATATTCGTAGTGACAGCTGTGAACGCTGATTCGAAAGGCATTTATATTTTGGTAATTAGTAATAAACTATTCATTTTAGCGTTATTTTTAGATAAAGTAATCATTACTTTGACAATGAGATCCAATATTTTGAGAAGAAGTAAATATTCAAGTTAAAGAATAATAAGTAGAGCTGAAGTTGTCAATGGCGTAAAAGATCTTATTTTCTTTGTCAAAGTTCGCCTTTATAGAAAACCCGCAGTAATACCTATACTTAGTCGGTTAATCTTGCTCTCATCGAATGCTATTGTACATACATCCAGCTGTATTATTAACGGCTCGAGTATCTCCAGAATGATCGATTGGAGAACAAAGGAAATCCGAAGAAAAGAGGGATCGCTTTAATCTCGCGCAGTTTTTCCCAGGTGCTGATTCGACAGGCAACGTATCAATAAAGTATCGTTCGAACCTTTTTGCTGTCCATTCCGGACGTCGAGCTGGTCACCGGCTGGTCGAGCCTGGAACAAAAAGATACGGGGTTCATGAAATAACTGTCTCGATACCTTCACACGTGTGCAATAAAATATAACCGGAGGCAGAGGCAACACGGAAAATGTATCCGATACGTTTATTATTAATTATATCTAAATCAATTTTGGTCGTTCATTCGGTGCCGTTTACGAGGAACGGGCGCGAATAAATTCAATTAAATTCGTTCCACCGCGCCGCGGCAACTCAACCATTTCAATGCTTTATTAAACTCGCGCGTCATAATTTCATCGCCGCATTTAACGCGACAATTTCACTATTTTCTAAATAGATATTTTACGTCACACTTCCTCTTCTTCCATTCTCTCGTTTCCGCACTGTTCAGATAAGACCTGAAACTTGTTATAATATGCGAAATATGGAATTGTGTAGTTAATTATATAGTTAATTAATAAATATTTATATTAAATAATTGTTAAGTAATTATATATATATATATATATATATATATATATATATATATATATATAAAAATTATTNAAGTAATTATATATATATATATATATATATATATATATATATATATATATATATAACAATTATTATATTATTATTTATTATAATTTATTATTATAATTTTTTAATATAATTTATTATTTATTATTATTATTTAATATAATATATAATTATTTAATAATATATATATATATATATAATAATATAGTTAATTTTATAGTTAATATTTAAAGTTGAGTGAATTATAATCAAAAACATTCGCATTTTCGAAAATTTTGTCTTACGCCTTAAAACGTAATTTGTACATGCCAAAATGTTCAATAGACAAGTGAAATCAATTATAAAGTTTGTTCAAATTAACTGAACTCCAAATCATCTTAACAATAAATTCGGTCGGTAAACGATGACACTTCACGTTTCTTGCAACTAGAAAAATGTGACTAACGTCACACTATGAGTCTAATCCACTCAATTATTATTATAGCTTCTATAAATTTTTTATATTACATTATTCGGTTCGATGATCAAGGTGGTCGATTTTATGTTATTCAGTTTAAGATCACCAAAATTATAAAAACTAGAAATTTCATAATCCAAGCATAGATTACAATTAGACTGCGGATCATTGTGTAAAATAAAAATTGTACGCATTAGTTGCAAGAGACGGGAACTGCATAAACATTTATTCCCGTTTTGAATAATTTTAACAAGTTCTAAATAATACGATCAAATTGTTAAATGTTCCTAATAGCGTCACTGTTTCGTGTTTCATCAACTCATTTTCGCTATAAATGCACAAAATTCGCAGTTTAATTATAACGAATATGTAAAAAAGGTTTACGTCGTTATTAAAGGAACTAGCTAGTTACTAGCGTCACTAGTGGTAAAATTGAAAAGATCGAGTCGCAGCTCGTCTAAAGATCGCGATAGAGATTTCGACGATTTCGCAGCGAAACTTTCGCATCCGTTCCGGCAACAAGGTTTCCTCCAGGTTGCCGAAAGACAAGCTTCTTCCACAGGAATCCGCACCCTATCGATTCCTTTGTCGCCGCCGGAGAGATTTTTTCCGTTTCTGCTGCAGGGCGGCACGCGTTAACAAGTTCGCAACCCCTTTCGCGGGGGTGCATACGGAATCGACTGCGAGCCCCTTTGAGCAGCACTTTGCGCGACTCGGCCCCGTCAATTAGAACGAACAGGGAGCCGTCCCGTTCCACGCCGATCCGTTCGGCGTTTTTGCGACGCGACGTTCCGCCATTACCGAGCTCGGATTTTCCTTAACGAACGCCCCCGCCCAGAGCCAGCGGAGAGACGAACGCAAACGATCGTTCGGTTACGTTATCGAGGAATCTGTTACCTTCCCCCTGCGCCGCCGCTCGCTGCGAGAAATTAATTGTTGCGCAACGTGGGATTTGCACGGGACATTTTCCACGAGCTCTTCGAATCCGCAGGAATCGGCCGATTCGAATCGGGGAACGGAGAATTACAGACGAGGGAAGCAATATTCTCGGTTGCATATCGCGCTTTAATGATTAACACGAATTTAGTCGTTTGTCGAGCGACTGACACCGATACGATTCTTGGTGGAAACGAATTTTTATGATCTTTACAATTTACGAGAAGATCGTTGTTTTTACGTGACTTCAATGGCGTAGAAATAACTACTCTGAGAAGAAAATAAATAATAATCTTCTGTCTTTCACTTGAAAAAGAATCTTTATTTTTTCGCATTTTAAGAAAATGTGTTTAGTTACTCGATTTGAATGATGAATGCGCAAAAATTCGCCAATTTTCGACAACAGTCTCCTCCCTCTAATTTAAAAGCGAACTTTGCTTTCGGATGTCTTGAAAAATGTCTAGAATTTAAAAAATGTCTTGAAATATTATAGCAATCTAAACAAGATAACGAGAGAAACACTCTCAACTTGCAAAATGCTAGCAGACTTTTCGCGTCGCGTTTTGGTCGAACCTGTTTGCAGGTTCCGGCTATTTTCGGACACCCTGTAGTTACTCGATTTGAATGAATGAAAGCGCAAAAATTCGCTAATTTTCGACAACAGTCTCCTCCCTCTAATTTAAAAGCGAACTTTGCTCTCTTGAAAAAAATGTCTAGGATTTAAAAAATGTCTTGAAATATTATAGCAATCTAAACAAGATAACGAGAGAAACACTCTCAACTTGCAAAATGCTAGCAGACTTTTCGCGTCGCGTTTTGGTCGAACCTGTTTGCAGGTTCCGACTATTTTCAGACACCCTGTAGTTACTCGATTTGAATGAATAAATGCGCAAAAATTCGCTAATTTTCGACAATAGTCTCCTCCCTCTAATTTAAAAGCGAACTTTGCTCTCTTGAAAAAAATGTCTTGAAATATTATAGCAATCTAAACAAGATAACGAGGCAAACACTCTCAACCTGCAAAATGCTAGCAGACTTTTCGCGTCGCGTTTTGGTCGAACCTGTTTGCAGGTTCCGACTATTTTCGGACACCCTGTCGTTCCTCTAGCGTCTTTCGTCCCAGAGCTCGTTTTATTTCCCAGTGTCATAGGTTACATCGACTATAACTTCTTTTCTTTCTCCGGCTCACTACATTCTCGCGGACTTTCGCGCAGTCCGCTCGGACTTCTTGTCGCCGGAGCAGATTTTTCTGCACCGTCCCCGCGTAGATTCTTAAACTTCTTTCCGCGTTTTGCAGGATTTTTTTACGGGCCGCGCGACTCTTTCCCGGACTCGTTCATTCTTTCACACCTTTTCCGCAACGGCCCTCTCGTTCCCGGTCCTTTAGCTCTGCTGCGCTGTTTTTTAATCGTGCTTTTCTCACTTTGTTCGCTCCACCGGAACGCTTTGACCTCTGTCCTCTTCTCGCGTTCCGGCCTTCTTTTCCTTCTTTCTCGCTTCTGGAAACCTCGGACGAGATTCGTTCGCAGCTGTACGCGGGCCGTATACTTTGCGTAAACATTAAGTTAATTGTACAATGCGGGTGGATTATCTCTTGCGCGTTCCTTGGAAATCGTTGCACAAATCGTACTGAATCACAAGTTATAATCAACTTTATTCATTTCCTTACGAATTACTAATGCTCATCTCCTTGATGGGATCTCCTTGTACAGCACATACTACACCATAGAATAAAATAAGTAATTGACGAGTTACTTCAACCAGCAGCGTTTTTTGATGCTTCGATTTTGCTGTCGAGTGCTCGATCATCCGTAATTTTTGGAGCAATTTCCGAAAAGTTGTCAATCTTCGAACTGCTGTAACTCCGTCAAAAGCTGTTATAAAATTATGGATTTTCTTTTAAATCAAAGCTTGAAATCTCTACTTCGCGACGTCATATTCTAATTCTTAATATCACGCCTCTTCCCCATCCACCTCGCGGCTGTAGTATCCTAAGTCTGAAAGCATGTTCGTGGTTCCGAAAAAGTGCATAATTCAACGTCCTCCATGGAGCCGCCATATTTTTTTTCCAAGCAGGTCGTTCATAGCGTCGTAAAGTTCGGACCTTCCTCTTTAATTCAAGGGCTCGAGTAAGTCGCTACGACTTTTTCTCGCCGAGTTACAGAACTAATGCCCCAGCTGGTAAAAAAGCAGAATTATTTTCCGAGCAATCCAACAGAAATCGATTCTCTCGATCTTCGATTGTAACTCGGTAACAAAGCCTCCAATCGCAAAAAGCCAACACCCTTTCTTCCTCCTGTTCTCGCAAAGAATTTGTCCGGGGTCGTATATTTTTGGGACACCCGGTGTAAGAGATTGTAGGAGCGAAGAAATAGCAGGTCCGCGGAATCGGAAGTTACCGGCGCGCTGCAGCGGTGCGGCCGGATGGTGTTCCGACGCGGTGGAAATTCTTTCGGAGGCAAATAAAATATTCCGCGAGCAAGGTGGCGGCCGACTGCTTCTTTCCTCGGCTGCTTTTGTCGAAAGATCTTCTCTTTCCTCTTTCCCGGCGCGCTCGAGGATTCCAAAGTGTATTTGGGCAATTTTCCAGCTGGCCCGCGGGCTCGGGGTTTCTGGATTTACACCTGGCGGTTTGCAGATCGATCGGCCGCGTTCGTTCTCCCCGGCTTCGAAACAAGCATCGATTGTAGTGTACATTTTATTAACCCTTAGAGCTCTATGGACGCATATATGCGTTTGGCGAAAGTCATCCGTGTAGCCTAAGGTCGCATTTATGTGTTTTCTCTAAGTCATCGGCCTGGACTAAGGGCGCATATATGCGTTCGTCGATTTTTTCAATCAATATGCAGTTATTTTCGTGTAAAATTAATACAGAGGCACTCGTTAGTAATTTGCCTTCCTTAGGTAGCGGTTGGGCAATATTAGGGTCATCAAAATCCCCGGGAATTTCCGAAACGAAAATCCCATTTTATGTCCCGCTCTCTAACCAATTAGATTCCAAAATAATTACCTGCACTGTCACCTTTTCGCGACTCAAATCACTCAAAACGACTCAGTCAGCAGTATCGTCTTGCGAATGTAAGAACCTCACGATCTCGCTCGCGTCAACAACGATAGTGC